ATCAAATTCTTGTAAATCAAAATGAACAGTTGAGAGATCAAGGTTCATTATGTCCCTATATCTCGAACTGATTTGTTTTGGTACTTCAAGATAATTGGCATAGTTTTACTCCAATGGGTTAAATTGCAGCCTTTTTATGATGAAACTGTTATGGGCTCAGAGGGGGTCACACCTTGTTAGACCAAAGTCAAACACACAGGGCTACATACCGCCTGTTGTAAACAGTTTGACTTTTGGATAAATGTGCTCTTGGAGTCAGTAGGTCAGCGTCTGAGGAGCAGCGGCCCTTCTCACACCATTGTAAAACATTCACGCTGGACTTTGTCTCAGTAACAGCCCTACACACACACACAAACACACAGACATAGTTTTAAGTACACACACGTTGCCACATAAAGTGTGTCGTAATTCCAAGATAAGATTTGTATTTATTTCTCTTAGCAAAAGGTCATCTGGTCACAAACAAGAAGCTGCAGAAACAGGGACAAAGACCAATGATTTTCACTATAAAGATGTATTCTAAAAGAAGACTCTTATAAACCTAGTAGTCCCACATCAGAACAATTGGATGGTTTCATTATTAATAAACTCAAAATAGACGTGCTCAAGCTTTAAGAGATGTTGTGATTTATCTCACAAAATGACACTCATGCTATTAATTGAAGGAATACAGGATGTTCCTCTAAGATATTTTTTGTAAAATTTTAATGGGATTCTTTGAAAATATTCTTTATCTCTCTGCTTTAGATCCGCAGTTTAAAAACACTGTCAGTTTCTCATCAGAATATTGTCCGAAGCGATATCTTGTTTGTTCTTTCCCCGGACGTTATCATCGTGTCATTTTGCAAAAAAGAAAACTGACATTAAACCGATTTGAGGGTTCACTCCTGAAAGGTGAGATAACAGGAGGGGGTGCTGATGTCAGCACGCAGATCAAATATAGCCGCGGCTGGAAAGGGGAGGGAGGGACTCAAAGGTCAGACTCTGGTTTGGGAAACAACCCCGATATTGAGCAAGCCCTGGCTGAAAGTGCCGAGCAGCTGTTACACATTTACCCGAGGAGGACTGGCATGGAAGCAATCCGTGTCCGCTTTAAGCTTCCCATGCTGCTGTTGGGGATATTTAATTACAAAGCAGATCTGAGGAAGACGATCTGGGCCCCCCCCAAATGTGGCCGAGAGCCCAGTTCTGTCCATCACCGCACACACACAGCACTATATTTAAAAGCTCATGCAAAGCAGAGAGCTGCAAAGATGGGAGGACTGCCCTTTAAATGGAACTGTCGAAGATTTTGGCCGGAAACTGGTGAATCAAAGAGGCCAAAAGAAGAAATTATGACAAAACATCAGCCTTAAATATGACTTTTTCTTCTTTAATCAAACAGAATGATTTTAGCTAGAACAGCAAAACGTTTGCTGTTCTTTTATTTTTTTACTTTAATGCCTCCGATAGGATGAGACCGTGGACTGTGTTTACAGAGTGCTTCCTCTGAGCTTTCAGGTCTGAGATTTGATCAGATTTGGTGATAAAATGACTGAGCTCCACTTTAAACCTCCCCCCGCCCCCCTCCCCTCCCCCCCGGCCAGTTCATTGACGTGGCAAATCCAGCACCCGTCTGTTTACTTTCCAGCAGGGGATATCCAGGCAACATGGCCACAGCTCGCAGAGCTGGCAGCTATATTTAGGCCCTCGCTCCATAAACCTCTTTTCCAGATAAAGAGTCAACACGGCGCGGCGTTCCTTTCTTGGAGCTCGCCGCTCTGACTTAGCTGATTAATGGCGCAGGAGGCCTACCAGCCCCGTTTTACCGTCTAATTATAGAGGGCGGCCGCCGACTCAGACCCACAGACACCCCCTCAGCGACTCCTAAACACTCCATAAACACCTTTCACGTGCTTCTCTTCCTCCTCATCTCATTCCGTCTGCCCTGGCTTATTCGGGTCGTTCAAGAAATAGTAGGATGAAGAAACAAACTTATGGTAATAAATGTCTCTGGGGCTGAGAAAAACAATGATTTATTTCACATCTCAGTTTCCCTGAACTATGAGGTATCTCAAGGCTCTGTCCTGGGTCCCTGCGCATTCTGTGTCTGTAGTCCTTCTTATATATTTAATTTCGTCAGCCCTGGCTAATTCAGGAAATTTAAGAAATAGTAAGATAAAGAAACAAAATTATCATAATAAATGTCTCTGGGGCTGAGAAAAACAATTATTTATTTCACATTCTCCTCTTGTTTCCCTGAACTATGAGGCATCTCAAGGCTCTGTCCTGGGTCCCTGCGCATTCTGTGTCTGTAGTCCTTATATATCTAATTTCATCTGCCCTGGCTTATTCAGGTAATTTAAGAAATAGTAAGATAAAGAAACAAACTTATCGTAATAAATGTCTCTGGGGATGAGAAAAACAATGATTTATTTCACATCCCAGTTTCCCCGAACTATGAGGTATCTCAAGGCTCTGTCCTGGGTCCCTGCGCATTCTGTGTCTGTAGTCCTTCTTATTTATGACTACGCCTTGGTGCCTTTCTCTGGATCTTTAATAAAGTCGTATTACAAACGAGTTATTTTTATGCCTTTAGCTCAGATGATCCCTGTTTTCCAAACATACCAACTTTATACCACTGTCCCCGAGATACTGTACACACAAGAGGCATGAAGCTTTTTAACGGATAGTCACTCGTTTGTTTGGTGTTTGTGGAAGTTTAATCCCACAGTATTGAAATTAGTACAACAAATATATTTTTTTAAACTTCACCTTAGGACACCTCTAACTAAATTGCCAGTGTTGCTCTTCCTGTCACAATCATAAGAAAGTTTTCATGCTCCGGTTGTAATTTTAGAAGCGCCAAGAGATGGAAATGTGTTGTGACATGGCTCCACACAAATCAGATGAAATCAAACTGAATAAAATGTTCACGTCTGGATAAAAACCGTGAAGGAAAACCAGGCCACAGACACCACTTCCTGAAGCACTTCCTGTTCTTCGAGAGACTCCCACCTCCGTCAAACACGAGGCGTCGCATTCCCGTGGAAACTGTCAGGCGGTTATTAATGTTTGGTCACAATCCGACATCAGCGCTAACGCCAGTAATCTAATCTGGAGGTATCAAATCCCACCGAGAAAAAGATGGCGAACGAGGACATTTTGTAGAGGGGACATTTTCAGTGTACGGATGAGAGATTCTTTTTCATTATTTGTGCTTCTGGACGTCCCCACGTGTTGGCTGTAATTGCCTACATCATTCATAAAGGTTGCCAACGTCGTCTTTAGGTTGTTCCTGCCGCTCCTCAGCCAGTAAATTAAAGACGTATTTCCTCCGGCCCCAACTTGCTCTTCCCAGTCGGGAGAGGGGGAGGAGGGGGTGAAGGACGGCTGAGCAAACAGAGGGAGAAAGACAGAACAGGAGGAGGGAGAAGCCCTGACTTTTCTTCTTTTTTTTTTCCACGAGTATGCCATGTAACTCGAGCGAACCCATTAATCTCGGGCCACTGGCTCTTCGGGGCCCTGTGGGTGTTGAATTTCAGGGGCCGACGAGCTGGGACGGGATCTGAAGTTGACCTCACGCCAAAAGATGAACTGGCCCGAGAGAGAGAGAGAGAGAGAGGGAAAGAGAGCAAGAGGGTGGAGGCCTGGATCTGGTTTGGACTGGCCACCTGATTGGCTGGGAGACATCAAAAGGAGCAGCGGACTGAAGGCTTTGGTACATTTTTCTGGGTTTCTGTTGTTCATTCACGGGAATGTCAGGTCATTTTTTTTTTCTTTTCCAACAATGCTCCAATTGAGCTCGACATTTAGTTCCACGATTCCTAAAGGTTTACCTTATGCATAACTAACAGTCGAGGTTTTCCGGGGGATTCCCACAGCCCCTTATGGCGGTCACTCACTACTGAATTCTGCTGGAGAATGGTTTTATTTGCCACCTCTGCTCTTGGAAGTATGATTGAAAGAGAAAAAATTAATAAGGCAGACGAAGGTACAGAAAAAATATTCCCCAACACTTTGCTGCTAGTGTAAATTCTGTCCACGGCAGTTCCAAGAGTCCGAATAAAGGCAGCTGGACTTCCACTGGGGGCTTATTTAACCTCTAATCTAAAAGGCTTCTGCTGGTCTTAAGCACATGGTGGGGAGGGCTGCTTTATCAATCCTGGAAGAGCCGCTCAGATTTGAAGGGGGTCATCGGGTCACTGAACCGCCCGACCTCACCGGGTGGATATATCCTCTCCGATATCGAGTTGGAGGGAAACCTCTGAGTCGTGTTTGGAGGAGCTAACTCTCCCCCTCACACTGACCAAAACTGTCAGACAAACTCAGTTTACAGGTGAGAATGACTTGCAAATTGGTTCCGTCCACCCCCACCACCATCTAGTTTAAAACCGGAGAAGCCTTTAGGGATAGCAGAGCAGATATCTTTAAAACCATTTTTTAATGGCTGCCTTGTGTTTCAAACATTCATTTGTAACATCATTCGTTGCACATCCTCAAAAAAACTGAATGGAAAGCCTTTGAAAACGGCTTGAATTGTGACCACTCGGATGAGTCCGAGTTATTCTGGCAATAACACGGTGAAGATTAATCACAGGTCAAAGGTGACGGGCAAACAACTTAAAGATAAACCGTCTTACTAGACGTTTAAAACCTCCACTAGGCCTACGTCGGAACGCCCGGCCTTCGGATTTTCGGATCGGCTCGGAATCGCGCGCTTTAAAAAAAGACTTTTAATGTCACGTACGCGTTCCCACCGACACACGCCGCTGTTTATTTATGCCGCTCGCGCAGAAACGCCGGAGGAATTTCATCAGCCAGAGAGCGTTGCGTAACTCAAAAACCAGGGCTGACCCATTAGTCTGCTGACCTGAACCGATTAATCTCACTGGAAGCTCGGCACAGCAGGGGGAACCACGCAAAGCTCCAGTTTTTAATTCTCAAAGCCTCAAATGGATGCGTTTGATTATTTCAAAAGATCATTTTTTAGTCGTTAATCGGTGGTTAACTGAAATCTTTCACATTTCTGGGCCCCCAATCTGGAGCCCAGAGAGTCCTCGGATCAGGACAAATGCGTGTTCCTGAAGAAGGAGATCAAAGATTAGAAACATTTCCCTTTGTTTTCCCCCCTTCGCTGGAAGGGCTCCCGGCCGACATTCTGCCAA